TTACAAAAATTAGAATTACAAAATGTAGAATTACAAAATGTAGAATTTCAAAAAGTAGAATAACAAAAAGTAGAATTACAAAATGTAGAATTGTAAAAAAGTAAAATTACAAAATGTAGAATTACAAAAAAGTAGAATTACAAAATGTAGAATTACAAAAAGCAGGATTGCAAAATGTAGAATTACAAAAAGTAGAATTACAAAATGTAGAATTACAAAATGTAGAATTACAAAATGTAGACTTACAAAAAAGTAGAATTACAAAATTTAGAATTTCAAAAAGTAGAATTACAAAATGGAGAATTACAAAAAGTAGAATTACAAAATGTAGAAAAAAAGAAGTAAAATTTTAAAATGTAGAATTACAAAATGTAGACTTACAAAAAGTAAAATTACAAAATGTAGAGTTACAAAAAGTAAAATTACAAAATGTAGAATTACAAAGAGTAGAATTACAAAATGTAGAATTACTAAATGTAGAATTACAAAAAGTAGTATTGTATATGCCAAAATTCACGAAATCAATTGCTCAAATACAAATAATATTCCACGATACGGTTTATAATTTATTACTTTATACACACAAAATTAAAATATACTATACGATCGATTAGGGAAAATGAGGTAGAATGCGGTTGAGTAAAAATAGAACCAATTTGCCTCCACTCTTCGAAAGGGTTCACAACGAACTGTTTTTCTCCGGGAAAATTCATTCCACCCTCATCTCTCTCCTAGGATCATAACCCTAGCTTCCCCGGCCCGGCGGGCCGATACCCCCGGTTCCATGCTCACCGAGATTAAGGACTTAGATTTGCTTAAATGTTACATAATGATAATGTTTACATTACATTTAATATTACTGGTTGTGTAACCCAATTGTTAGTATATAATGACGATGCACCAAAGAATTAGATTCTGGGTAATTTAAGATAATCTATTTTCAGAATGTGTACATAATAAATGTGTATTGTCGTCTATGAAGTCGTATCCCTTGTGATTAAACCTATCCAACACGCCACTCAAAGCCTTCTTAAAATGTCGTCTTTAGAAAATTTATTTTTCATCTAATAGTTCTTTGAACTAAAAATTTACGGGAGTGTTCGTCGCTTCGTTAATGATCGTAAACGACGACCCTTCGTTAACGATCGTTAACATATTTATCAATGACAATTTTTTCTTTCAAAAAGGATAGTTTTTTTAAATCGAAAAAAAACGATCGCAGATCGTTTTTATAAAAACTTTATAAAACAAAATTCATAAAAACGATCGTCCATATGTTTCCAATCATGACAATCAACAAATAACTCTAATCTAGCTTTGGTAAAATTCTTCTGCCACTACGTCAAAAAAAAATTGTTAAAATTTTTCATTAAACATAAAAACCAACATTAAAAAAAGCTGTGCTGTATGGCGGAAGCTCGTTTACTGCATAGCGGAGGCTTGGTCTGCATTGGAGGCTTAGTTAGCCTAACAAATCTGGAAGGCTCGTATCTGCAAAGCGAGGCTCATTGCGTCCGGGGGTTCCCTCCCTCCCAGAATCCGTTCTTAGGGTATTTTGTGATTATTAATTAAAAACTTACCTCTTAACTTAGCTTTACAAACACATTTATATAATGATTGAAGACGACCTTCAAGTTCGGGCGCAACTGTTTTGTTGGGCGCCCTGTATTATAGTTTCATAATAGAACTAAACAAATGGAAGTTATAACTTTAACCATTATCTTTTCTTTAGGGCTGGGGAACTTAGAATTCCTTTAAACATTTAAAACTTTCTAAAACCTAGATTAGAATCGACACATCGTGTCTTGGACCTTTTTGGGGAAATTCAAATTCAAAATCTTAATTGTTGATATTCAAAATTTGCTAAAAAAAAACTCTATTTTAGGGCAAACAAAATTTCATTTTTGCGCTGTAAAAATCCTAAAGCTTTTAATCATTTGAAAATTCAAAATTGCGAATAATATTTTATATTTTTTGAGCAAATTTTTTTCTCAATTTACAGATTCATAAAATAAAACATAACAAGTTTCACATCTTCTTTTCCCGTCATATATCTCAAGAAACTTAGTTATAAGAGTACAGAGATAAGAAAAACTGTAATGTTGTAATATATAAATAAATTTGAATAGTTGCAAGAATATATTCTACTTCGAAGCATATTTTTTAAGGGAACTACCCCCCCCCCCCTCCGCAATTGAAACAAGAAAATTATGAAAAAAGTTGATAACCCCCATTTTTCTATATTTTCTATACAAAGATACAGGGTGTCCCAATAAACATGGGAATTCAGTGACGAATTCGATATCGTCTTTTCAAATAATTCTTTGATTTAGTATAGTGATACCTACTGAGAAAGCTGTAATCTGTAAGAGTTTCGTCTGCTGTGATCACATTTTGTTTGTTTATGTTTTGACTGCAAAAACAAGAAAATTGCAGTATACAAACAGAGTAAACAATTGTCTGTCTTCACTGTTCATCTTGCGGAGACATTATAGACACATCTTTGCAGTCTTTTACCCTTTTCATTAAATAAACTCTAGCAGACAAAATAATATAATGGCTTTTGTAATTAGGTATTACAATGCTAATTCATAACAAAGACGATATCGAATTCGTCACTGAATTCCCATGTTTTTTTGGGACACCCTGTATAAAAAAAGTATTTTTCATCTTTATTGTTTTTCGATTTTTGAAGAAATCAGTATCATTTAAGTAATTTCTGAGACCACTTTCAGTTTCATCGGAGACAGATACCGCTCATGTTTTTATCGGAGACCACTAACTAAGAATCACTTTAAATTCATTAAGGTCCTTTAAATTCAATTTAGTAAAAGTTATCTAGGCTTTTTGATCCAGGATGTCCCACGAAACATGAGAATTGATGAATAGTTTTTAATGTCCTCTTTTAGATACTGTATTAGACTTTTTGCAGTTTCCGTCAAATATATTTTACTTTGAAGTTTAAAATCAATTTTACGATTATGAGATAACTCACATGAAATATTTTGTATTATTTTTTGGGGGTTTCAAACAAGTTAAAAATTATGGAAACCTTCCATAATTTTGTCGCTTGTTTGAAGTACTTCAGCCCGTTTAAAATGTTTGAGATCTGTTCTGAAACTTACTGTTTTAAACACAAACAATGTTATTTGATCAATTCTTATGTAAATTTTCATCATTAAAATACAAAACATGGTTTGTTTCATAAGTCAGTTTCAGGGGGTGGGGGTAGTCCATTACCCTCCTCCCTGATTGAAATTAGGGAGGTTGTACCCCCCCCCTGGATTTTTTCAAAGTCATTACTCCGATGACTATTGACAGGTTGGTCAACAGCTGGGAAGAATGGCGTGGCGATGCACCGAAAGAGGCTTGCCTCAATTTCGGACAAGAGAGTTATAAATGTCTTTCAAACAATGTTGTCCGATTCTTTGGGTGCATCGACCTAGAAAAATAAATTTTCGTAAATTGTAAGAAAGGAGGATATTTAAATTTTGAACAAAAATTCCTTTATTTACTGTTGGTATACTTTTATTTTTAACTCTAAACATAAACATAGAATCTATAGAGTCTCCTGCAAGATAAATTAGCATGATTTAAGAAGAATTATTTACTAATAGATCAATAATAATAGCAGGAAATAAAAAATAATTCTTCCATCATTATAATAATATAATATGATATGTATAATCTATATAGTTCATTCCATAATATTTTTTTATATAGACATTTGCCTACCCTGTACTTAAACGTAAAATTTGTAGTTTGTAGTAAATAGAATTTTTTGCAAAAGAGGCTGGTTAAATTAATATAGGGTGGGGTGAAAATTTTTGTTTTCGTGCTTCGAGCGGATATATCCCCCCCCACCCCCCACTATCTTAAATCCTGAAGCCGCCCTAAAAGTAAAAAAATGTGTCTTTTTAACATCGTGTTATGCGGTAAGGAATCAAGTATATTTTGAAAACAAGTTTTTTTCCATCACAGATTAATTTTGTTCAGGCAAAAGTGAAAATTCATCTTTCATACTTCCACATTTTTCTTATTTTCCAAACCTGCAGGGCCGGATTGATTCGATTTTGGATTTTTTTTGTCCTTTTTTTCATGGTCCAAATTTTTTTTGGGATAATTTTTCTTTTCAGTTTTTAAATTTTGCATAGTGTAAATATTCCAATTGTTTTGTAAATTGTTTATCGAAACATGTCTTTTTTCTCACATTTTGACCCTGACAGAAGACAAAGATCGTTTTTGGATAAATACGATATAAACAAAGTTTGGACAATTTGAAATATAAACTTAATAACTTAATTTTTGAGATATTTGTCAAAGAAATAAGAATAAAACAAACAATAAACCTTTATGACCCAAAAGCCGTATGGATAAAATGTAAAAATTTCTTTATCAATAATTTTAATTACAGAATTAAAAATCCAAAATGAAACTATTTTTCCTTTATGCATTATTTTAAATTTGACAAAGATTACTGACAAAAAAGTGCTGAGTAAATTTGGTATTTTTTTAACTAATTTATTTTTATCTTATCTCTAATATTTTATGTGATTGTATGCCCAGGTGTGCAGTCTGCATGAAGATATTTTTTATCTGAAAAATGTTTAAATAAAAGTGTTTAAATTTTATAATGTTTTAAAGCAAATAAGTTTAATTATTATTTCATTTAGTAGAATGACAACTCCTGTGTAATTTTGTTATATTGGACATTTTAAAATCATAACTTGAGTCAAACAGTCGTCTTCCTTTTCTAAAGTTTTCTGACCACCCCCACCCTTGGAGTTGAATCTGATGGCAACTACCCTTACTACCCCAACTACCGTCTGTTTTTTTAAAGAGACCCCATCCCCACTCTGTTAATTCTATGCGCATGGTATACAATATGGGTATCGTTTCCCGTTAAATCATATGTTTTAAGCTTGTTTCTGGCATTCATAACACTCTCCGACCTTTACTATCCTAACCACCCACCTTCTGAAGGGTGCACATTTCGTCGTCAAAAAAAAGGCATTTTATACATACAGGGAGAAACGTGGAGTAAATGTGTGCAAACCAAAGAAAAGGATTTATGTATCTCGGACATACAGTGGCAGCCACTGTAATATACAAACTACACATAGCCGTCTTCCTTATACATTTTGAATTTGTTTTAACAATCTTGTTTTAATATTTTAGCATCATACGCAAATTTCAGTCCACAAGCAAACTTCAAAAAGAATATCCCCCCCCCTGAAAAATTATTTTAAAATATTTATACTTGTATGAGTCTCTTTCTTGTGTAGGCCGGGCAAAACTACAACTGAACATCAATAAAAATATAATTCACTGTAAATCATTAAAAAAACGTAAAAAACTAATTTTCTAAAAATTTATTTGCAGTCTTTAATCATGTTTAATCTAACTTTGGCCAAACGTTTTATGTTGTGCATTCAGGGCTAGCAGCTGCGATTATGTGACACAAACTGTCGATAGATGATCTCAGAGTCGAGTCTAATTTAGACAGTTAGGTTTGACTTGAGACTATCTCAGCCGTCCAGCTTATAATGTTTGGCCTTATTTTTTAAGCCACAAATTGTGTGCTAGCATTTTATTTAGAAAATCACTTTAGATTTTTTGTCAAGCATATTTATTGTAGTGTTCCTTGTTCCCAACATCACAATCAGATAAATATATCTCAACATTTTCTGAAAATAAATATTTCAGAATTAGAAAGTAATTGTGTGTTAAATCGTCAAATACTTTAAAGGGAAGTTCACAATACGAAAATGAATATGACCGTTTTGCGCAATTATTCAGTTTTAATCAGCTATAGTGAATGCTGAACAGTATGCATATCTATCAATGTGCTTTAAAGATTGCAAGCTCTCATAGCAAAATATCGATGAGAATTTTGCCAATTACTTCTTTAAAACCAAAGCTAACAACAAGTGCTTTATAATGCTAAAATGTACAAAGGGCTACAGAAAACATAAATGAGTTAGAGTGATAAAATCAATGGCCTAGGTGTTGCAAAACTTCAAAGTTGACCCTGTCTTAAAAATTGATGAGACTTTTTAAAAGCAGGCTGAATCTGTGTGATATGGACTATATGAAGCAATACAGGGGAGTGGATACATCACGTCATATTACATTTCTTCATTTTACATTTCGTCATTTTACATTTCCTCAATTTACATTTCGTCAATTTACATTTCGTCAATTTACAGTTCGTTAATTTACATTTCGTCAAGTTACGTTTCGTCATTTTACATTTCGCTTTTTTACATTTTGAAAGGTTACTTTTCGTCAATTTACATTTCGTCAAGTTACATCTTGTCAAGTTTACATATCGTCAACTCCTACAGTTCGTCAACTGATACATTTCAACCCATTGCAATTAAAGGTAAACTGTTACAAACACATATAAATTGGGTCAACTTTGCAATTTGGTTTCACCATAGTTTCCTTCTCCCTCCATCACAATTCAAATTTTTATAATTCCTCTGTTTGATGGTACTCATCCTTGACATGGATGATGCTGCTGCTATTGAATCGGCCAGTCGGCCTAGATTGTTTGCTTAAGTACGAAAGCATTTGTGTAGGGCAAGGGGCACATTTCGCACGCATCAGCGCGCCAAAAAAAATGCTGTGCCCCCCCCCCCATTAAAAACCCCTTTTTAGAAAAAATGTTGATAACTTTTTTAACTTTGTAAACTATTCGATCATATACACACTTCAATTATTTATGTAATTTTTTTAAGTGGACTCATCCATATTCATACTGTAGTGTAAGCTTCAAGGGGTGACAAATAGAGTTGGAAACGTTTCTTTAAAAATATCTATATTTTCATGGGAAAGATGCATATTGTATTATAAATAATGATATCAAATACATATTTACACTGAAGGCAGTATTGATTAAAGATTTTTTAATGAAACTTTTTTAGTTAAGGCAAAAGTAAGATTTTAAAGTATTTTTATATAGGTGCCCCCCCCCCCTCGTACGCCCCTGTGAATAGACCCTTATGTGCAAACGGAGATTATCTTCATTTTTACCAAATTTATTCACTCCACTTGGAAACTTTTGAAGCCTTAAAAATTGTAAATTTTTAGATGTAAAGGTCTAAAATTGGGCGCATTGAATCGGAAATTGCTTTTAGATTTTTAAAAGGGTCTCAATCTTACAAACTAGTCAGTATACCATTATTCCTGTTATTTGTCGGAACAAGACATTTTTCAAAGAAAACTTTGTTCGTTCGTTCGCAAAAACGATGCCTTCATTTTACTCTCTTTTTTTACAAATAATTCTGAGAATTTTGTAAATTGCAAATTCTATTTTTAAGAAAATGTGCCTTGAACATTCTTGCATTGCGTATATACTCATTAATCACAATAAGTAACAAATAAAAACTTAAAAATAAATTTGTATTTCAAAGAAGGGATGTTTTTAATGTTTATATCAAATTGGCTTGGGCACCATACATATATTAAATGAATGGAGGCCAAAACTAGTTTACTATACTACACATTTTTTTACAGTTTAAAGTTTAAGTGAAAGACTTTTCTTAAATATCAAGTTTCTTTGCCCTTAGTTCCGCGTAGTACTTTAACATGAGAAGGTAGACAATAATTATATGAGTACGTGACGTCATACAAAAAAACATCTGTATGTAATTGTATAGATTATGACATGTACCAAATTATATTGACAGATTAACATCTCTCTATTAAACATAAGATATTATTAAGTACTATCCAATGAACTGTAACTTCTAGTGGCCCTTCATGTCTAAGACTTTAATTGCTTGATGTCTGCGACCGATAAACGCCAAAACGGCTGAACCGATTTGGCCCAAACTTATTGTGGGACCTCAAATGGCCGGGCGATTCTAGGGAAGGTTTATGGATGCATTGCTCAGAATTATAAAAATTATCTTCAAAATTTATTGATTAAATAAAATTTTGAAAATCCACGTAAAAAGTAAAGCCGCAAAAAATTTTAATGGTTCTTTTATCAAAAAGAAAACGCTGAAAGATTGAGCAACCACTAAAAGTTGAAATTGAAATTGGGCACGAAGCGCCCTGAAAGCCTTTAGAATTTAAGTTTACCATCCATTAAACGACCGTTTTAAAATGATCGTTTTTTGGCTAATAGTTTCATGGTTAAAAATTAGCATAGCGTTAGGAAAATAAATGTTATTGGTTAAATTTATTAGATATTTTTGCCCATTACTACCTATATTATTGCATGTTTATTAGGCTCTCTCAATATTTGAACTGAGCCAACCGCCCAACAGGGGTTTGTGCACTAAAGGGAGTGACCGGCAATGTATGGTGGTTGAACTGAAAATACAGTATTGTGCAATTTTTTTTAGGAATCGTATTCATACAAAACATAAAAAACGTTTCTACGATGTATAATTACTGAGTTTGAGCGCAAAATCGACGTTCAAAATCGTCAATTTGGTTAGGTACGTTTTAAGAATCGTTTTTTAATTATTAAATAGGGACGACAAAAATTCAAAACAAATTTAACAGTTAACATTTAATGGGACTTGCCCATTTCTTGTTAATAAGAATCAAAGAATGTAAAGGGAAAAGCATACTTGTTTACGGATTTTTTTCACGCTTTTAATCAGATTAAGGTTTTAAGGGTACTGTTGCAAATCTGGCATTGCCATCTTTTCATGGAGAATCACTTGAAAAAACAGTCCCTTTAATAGTGTACAAATATTGTTGAAAAGTTTAAAAAATACTGAATGATCAAAGTTGTAATGAAAGAAGTCTACTGAGGAGAGACAGTATAGAACAACTGCACCTTCAAGAAAATTATATGATTACATAACAATATACACGTGATCTAACTTTTCTCCGGGTCTAACATCTTTTTAAGTTATTATTTTAATTTCCAGGATTTTATAGGTTTCAAATAATTCAGCCAGAAAGGGGGTCCATGGAGGGTGGAGGGCCGTGGGGGGGGAACGAATATTATTATGTACACTATTGAAATCTTGACTCATAGCAAGGCTGTTACTTAGCTTTAAGTTACGCGTTTCGTCAGAATCATCCTCAAGGGATGGATTCAGTACGAATATTATTATGGATATTATTGAATTCATTACTCTAAGAGTTGAATTCATTACTCTAATAAAGGTATAAGGTAGGTACTTGCCATAAATTACACTTGCCATAATGGCAAAATTATTATGGCAAATGAAACTGAGCCCCCTTATGACGTAATCGGCAGGTTTGTACAGTAGAAACATATTCAAGAAAATTTACATTTTTCAAACTTATTGAAAAATGAGATTTTTAGTTTAAAAATGGGTGTAAAATTTGACAAACATTAATTATAAATAAATTAATTGCAATCATTTAATAATTTTCCATTTTAATCACTTTCATTTTACCTCACCAAAAAAGCACCAGGTCTTTTTTGCTTGATTTAAAAAAATACCTTTTTTGTTTGATAACATGAGCTATCATAAAACTGAACTTTTTCAATTTTTGCAATTTGTTCAAAATCTTATCAGATAAAATTTTAGTCCTATAGTTCCTTTATAAGCTGTATGATCATAAATGATTTATATTAATAGTAAGGCCAGTTTTCTAATATCTTAAAATTTACATACAGGGTGTCCCAATAAACATGGGAATTCAGTAAAATTTTTATATTGTCTTCCATCAATGCGGTCTTTTTTTCATGAACACAATTGTACCATATAAAACATCTAAAATTGAAAACACCTGGTCAGGCGATTTTCAAAATGTGGTCTACCATTTTTGTATCTTCAAATTTGACGGAGATATTGCAAAATTTGTACAAATTTAGATTTATCAAATAAATCAATAAATCTAATATCTTCATCATTTTTTCAGTTACAAGATAGGTTGACCACATACAGTCTTTTTTTTAAAATTTCTTTACCATACATTAAATATCAGAAATCAAAGACAACGTTTAAGTTGTCTCTCAATTCCCTGTTTATTGGGACACCCTGTAGTATAATGAGAACCAGAAAATTTTGAAAAGGAAGACGACGGTATAACAACATTTAAGTGTATTTGATGTTTAGTTTAATGGGGCTGTTTACACTGCACAAGATTTAATTGTTGTGTCTCATATTCATTGGAATAAGTCTAAAAGTCGTCTTCCTATTTTACAGTTTTCTAGTTTTCACTGTAGTATGCTGGAAATAATCAAATTAGTAATAAGATTCACAAAAATTTGCCCTTATTTAAATATTTACAATTGCCAATCGATTTGAACATTTTTATTTTTAATCGTACCTTCCCATCCTGATAAGTGTTGTAAATGAAGGATTATCTTTTACTGTTTTTCTACTCTATTCATCAGATTTGATTTTGCAGTTGACAGGGCTTGAACCATGAATCCTTAGATTATGAATCAAACACGCTAACCACTGCTCCATCAAATCCTGATGATTTGGTAATGAAATAGGGACCAGAGAGCTCAACCCACTCATTATAAGTTGAGGGCCTTGCATAATGCTTATTAGTACACCTATTCATTACCACAGAGAACTCAAGTTTAGCGGACTAAACGAGTATACATGTATATATGTATATCATCAAGAATGCATAGCAGAAACATAATGTTGATACAATAAAACTTCAAATCATGTTTTGAATACTTATTTTCTTATATATATATGTTCAAAGAATTTTGACTACTGAGGATCGTCATGAAACGTGAAACATTATGTTTTGATAATTCTTGTTTGATAAAATGTGAAGTTTAAAACTGAAATATATTTAAACATACATACATATAATACATATATATATTTATAATTAAGTGTCTTTTGCCCTGCAAGATTTTTATATTAATTTGTCTTATACTTTAAAGTGACTTTTGTTGTAATTTCAAGTGATGATCTATTCAACAAAAACATAGGAGCCATACCCGATACCCGATAGCCGATACCCATTTATCAAGCAGAAAACACATTTCAAGCTAGAAAACATATTTCAAGCTAGAAAAAATATTACAAGCTAGAAAACACATTTCAAGCTAGAAAACACATTACAAGGTAAAAACACATTACAAGCTAGAAAACACATTACAAGCTAGAAAACATATATCAAGCTAGAAAACACATTACAAGGTAAAAACACATTACAAGCTAGGAAACACATTTCAAGCTAGAAAACAAATTACAAGGTAAAAACACATTACAAGCTAGAAAACACATTAGAAGCTAGAAAAAACAAGGATGTCTTCCTTGAAGGGTAGAGGAATCGAATATACCACTTTATAATTGGAAGAGCGCATGAAATTAAGTCTACAGTTTCTTTAACTAAATAAAGGAATTGAGTCTTTGCCACAAACTCTGATTTTCTAATCACTATAACTTTGAAACCAAATGTTGTATACCTTAGATATTTCAAACTATGAATTCTGTTAGATCAAATAATCTAAGTTTGAAATATCAAAGGTTTACAACATCGGGCTCTAAAGATATTGAGGTTTAAATATTTGAATTTGTTCCAAAGACTCAATTCCTTTGCAGTTAAACAAGAAACCTTTGATAGTCATCCCAGTTCATCTTTGTTTTTTTCCGTTTTCTGGAGGCTCTTCTCTTCTTAGTTTCTATGCTCCTGTTTATACATAGATTAAAACAATTTTCTGTCAAAAAGATAAAAATGAACACTAAAAATGATAGAAACAAATATGTAGTTTTGTTGAAAATCCTATCCGTCTATATTTAAACTAACCAAAATTCTTAAAGTTAAAGAATATACATAGATTAAAAAATATACAATGTGGGATTGAAAAATCTTAGAATTTTATTTGTTTAAAGAATTAAGGAATGAATAACGTAGAATTTGCAGAACACTATAAACTAAAATAATAATGCTATAAATAGCTAATAAAATATTTGTTCAGGGATTTCATAAAAGTTCCTTTCTTAAACTTTATGGAAAAAAAATTCAAATTACCGTATCAAAGATCCCATATTTTCAATAATTTCTTCTATTTCTATTCCCCTCCTGCAAATCTAATTTGTCGTTATTTTGAATTTTACAATACAAAACCTTTATTTTTTTAACTTCTAAATGGAAACGACACAATTGAATTGAAAATGGTTCATTAATTTCCACTCATTTTACTGTTTTAAAAATACAAGTTTAGCTTAAACATTTCTAAATATGCTTTGTTTAGTTTGAAGAGAAACGAAATGGTGACTAAAAAATGTTCAAGCCTAACCAGATTAAAAGCATAATTTAAAGCGCTCCACAACGTAAAATTTTTTTTATGAACAATGTTGCCCTTTGGCCTTCAAACCAATGATTGATCAAATATTAGCAAGATATCTTTATTGTCTAGCTAATTATGATTATTTTCAATTAAAGTTTCATTATAAAGTTGCCTTGCGTATTATTGTTTAAGAGCATAGAGAAATTTTAGATGGGAAAATGGCGGTTTCTTTGATATTTATCACCAGATAGAGGTTTACATGCAGGGTACCTTTGTAATTCCAACATGGAATGAAACTGGAAGGTCACTTTAAATTCCTAAGTGTAAGTTTATTTAAAAAATAAGATTGTCAGGTCCTCCTACTTGTTTAAAATTGATTTGAACTTGTTTGTTTTGGTTGATGAGCACATAATATCCATTGGTCCTACAGGGTAACGTGGAGATTTCATCACCTCACATAATCTCTCTGATAATCCATTGAGATGCTGAAACCAAAGCGTGTTCTAAATCAGGTCTTAGAAATCCCCGAAATAAAAACCATTGAAGGGAAGTAAAGACTACCTGGACTACCTGGACTACCTGAACTACCTGGACTACTTGGACTACCTGGACTACCTGGACTACCTGGACTACCTGTACTACCTGGACTGACAAGACTACCAAGACTACCTGGACTTTGTGGACTACCTGGACTACTTGGAATACCTGGAATACCTGATCTACTTGGACTACCTGGAATACCTGTACTACCTGGACTATCTGGACTACCTGGACTACCTGGATTACCTGGAATACCTTGAATATCTGATCTACTTGGACTACCTGGAATTCCTGAACTATCTGGACTACCTGGATTACCTGGACTACCTGAACTACATGGACTACCTGGAATACCTAGACTACCAGGACTACCTGGACTGCCTGGACTTACTGAACTACCTGGACTAGCTGGACAACATGAACTACCTGGAATATCTGGACTAACTGGACTACCTGGACAAACTTAAACTTGACTACCTGGACTTTCTGGACTACGTGGACTACCTGAACTACATAAATTACCTGTACTACCTGAACTAGCTGGACTTCCTGGACTACTTGGACTGCCTGGACTAGCTGGACT